CCTTGTCGGTCCACCTTGTAGATGTAAAGTCAGAGACGACAGCTCATCTGCTGCTGCACAGTTTGTGGAAGCACAGGACGCTGGTCACAGGACGCTGTTGGCTGGATATTTTTGGTTGGTGGACTATTCTCAGTCCAGCAGTGACACTGAGGTGTTTGAAAACTCCAGCAGCACTGCTGTGTCTGATCCACTCAGACCAGCGCAACACACACTAACACACCACCACAGTGTTACTGCAGTGCTGAGAATGATCCACCACCCAAATAGTACCTGCTCTGTGAGGGTCCATGGGGGTCATGACCACTGAAGAACAGGGTAAAAGGGGGCTAACAAAGTATCAGAGAAACAGATGGACTACAGTCTGTAACTGTAGAACTACAAAGTGCACCTATATAGTAAGTGGAGCTGATAAAATGTGTGTGTGTGTGTATATATATATATATATATCTGTTGCTAGCTGGCTAATTTTTTGCACCAGAACAATGCATTATGGTTAATGCAGTTTCTTCCATGGCAGCTAGTAGCCAATAAAATGTGATTGAACAAGATTTCAGACATGACAGGTTAAACTGTCAGAGAGGTTAATCAGCTGTGCTGTATGTGTGCTGTGCGATATTTATATATAAGTTTATTTTTATGAATAACCGATTAAAACTGTCATAGAACATTTCAGGGACGTTCAGGCCCAGAATCCCCTCACAGCTGAGTCTGTGGTTCAGAGAGTCAGCGATGTTCAGTTATGTAATCCTGGCTTTACAGTCCCGGACTCCAGCGCTGTGACTGCTGATCATTCTTCACAACGGATTAAGAGAAGCTGAGTTTGATCCAGAGATGAGAGTAAATCAGTGAGAGGTGAGAGAGGCGACGGCTGAGGGCGAGAGAGCTGAAAACAAGCTCAGTGTTATCACAGGAAAGAGCAGAGGGAGGAAAATCTCTCACATTTATTATTATTATGACAGCGTGGGGGAAATTCTGGATAACACAGTGGAACTTTCCATTTCCTGCTTCATCCTCCTGTCAACCTCCAACCTGCTGTTAATGTGGCTTTTACAGAGAACAGACGTCACGTCAAACTTAGATCACAATAAAAGATCTCCTCCTTTACTCGCGGACACAGACGTGGTCTGAATGGAAAGTTGAGCTCAAACTTCTCTGCTTCTGTCGATGAACTACAACTGATAAATGATATGAACCTCAGTATCAGTGACTCCTAGCGATTCTCAGAGGTCCCAAAACTCCTCAACATTACTTTCACCTCATCACTCCACCGTCTGTGGATTATAATCTGGCTCCTCTCTCTCAACCTGGTGACTCTGCATTCACATATGAACCCTTTCTTAAAAAGCAAACATGATTCACTGTGTCTTAATTTACTTTTCTGATTAAGTTTAGCTAAATATTGTCATCATACTGATTTTAAATGAAAATAAAAAAATAAAAAAAATCAGATCAAACAATGCTGGGAATTCATAGAGTCATAGATTCTGGTCATGCACTGTCATTCTGGGCATAAAACAAAAGTAAAAGAAAACATTTCTGCCTTCAGTGAGCTTTTATTGTTACTCTTTATTGATTAAACAGATATTTCTGCTTCCTTTTCCACTAATTTGATGCAGTTGTCACTCCGCCAGCCTCTGATCGGATCGCTAATCTGCTAGCTAACATCACTGAAGAGCATCAAATTCTATCTTAGTGAGTTTGCAGTAAGATATACTGACACGTTTAAAAACACAGTAAAGACAGATATAAAACAGGTGTATCTGTCAGAGGGGTGAACCTGCGGAACAGCTGTGATGAGGAATTAAGAATGTGTAACTCACTTGGCACATTTACAAACTGACTGACTGGCTGCGCCACCTGACTTTTCAGACTAATTTCAAATTAAAAAGCATCTACTTAGACACCCATAGAAACCTCTGTCCTGAGGTCAGACCACCTGACACGGTAAACTGAACCATTCTAACCGCGACTCAAACATTACATTTAAAATGTGTTAAAAAATAAAGTAATAAATATCTCTAACACTGAGGTACGATCATTATTGCCTGGTTTGCCTATTAAAGTATGTTTGCTGAAAAGGAAATAATACAGCATCAAATAAACAGACCTGATATTAGCAGCTGTGCCCTTATTGTTATTTGTACGTTATTTGTATTTATTCTAATATTAATATTATCTAATAATATCAATATAACATCAAAAAGGGTTCTTCTATTGCAACAGCTTGACATCGTAACTACAGAAGAACCCTTTTGGTGCTATTTAGACCTGTTTTCAAAAAGGTTCTATACAGAACCATATACAGCTCATTCTCCATCAATCTGAAGAACGTTTTTACCATACAGAGAACCATTTAATGATGCAGGGAGCCTTTTAAGCATGCAGTAGGTTCTTTAAGTGTCCAATGTTCTATACAGAATAATTTATTTTAGTAAAGATCCCCTAAAGAATCATCTTTTTAAGAGCAGCAAAAGTTTAAACACACCAAGTCAAGTTAGATGTTTTGTTGATTGATCTTCTACTCGAATACGGCTAATTTAAGCGCATATCGCTGCTGTCGGAACAAAACCTCGTATCCTCAAAATGGTAAATTTACAGGAGAAGGAAAAAACATGCTTTACTTTTAATGTAAGTCAATGGAACCAGAATTTTTCCAAGTCATTTTTTTCATTTTTCATGAAATTTACACACAATATAAAGAGTAACAGGAATTTTCTAATCATGTGAAAAACTGAAAAACGACAAAAAATGGAGATACGAGGTTTTCTTCCCACAGCAGAGATATATAGACATAACTTTTGTGCAGGCCAGGTTTTATTTTATCATTTTTCCTGATACATCTGTTTGTTTAAACAGTAAAGGGGACAGAGTGAATTAAAGGAGAGAAGCTGAAACCTCTCAGTGGAACAGACTGTGCAGGGTTCTGCAGGCTGTTCAGAGCAGATGAGTTCCAGCTCTTCACTCTCTCTCTGTTCACTCTCTCTGCAGCTCTCTCTCTCTTCACTCTCTCTGCAGCTCTCTCTCTCTTCACTCTCTCTGCAGCTCTCTCTCTCTTCACTCTCTCTGCAGCTCTCTCTCTGTTCACTCTCTCTGCAGCTCTCTCTCTCTTCACTCTCTCTGCAGCTCTCTCTTTACCCCCCCAGACATACTTCACTCTCTGTAAAGTAGCCTTGAGAGTATCTGTGTGTGTTTCTATCTGTGTGTGTTTCTATCTGTGTGTGTTTCTATCTGTGTGTGTGTTTCCTGAGCTGACTCGGTCAGGAGTGTGTTTCCTGCTGCCCAGATTAAAGGGCTAATACTGGACATAATCCCTTCATTGGTGAAACACTCAGTGGTCCTGACATAGAACCGGGGAAAGGTCGGACTCGCAGCCTCTCCGACAAAAGGTCTTCAAACGTGTAAAAACATGAATAGCAATTAGTCTTAATTAGGGGTTTAAATACACATTATACTGTCTTCCTGAAGTGAGGCTACTACTTACAGCTGCTTGATGACATTTTGACGATACGTGACAGTTTATCTGAGGAACACACTTAGAAAAGATGTTTCTTCAGGGGTTCTTTATTAAAGAAAATGGTTCTATAGAGAATCATGAACACTCAAAGAACTTTGCATGATTAAAAGGTTCTTTGCACCGTTAAAGCGTGATATTTTCTTACTTTAAAATACTTCAAACCCGCGATTATCGATATCGCCCCCACAAAACAAACACATGCGGTCCGCAGCTTTGATCTACTTTCTCTTCTATTTTAGTTTATAAGTTTTATTAACATTAACTGTTTTAATGAAAATACGTATTAAACAATATGATACTAAGTAGCCCAACGTCTTTGAAGAAGACGTCACCGTGACGTTGTAATAAACGTTACTGCAAACACGAGCATTAATGAACGTCTTCTGCTGCAGATTCGTGGTGATCTGCGCAGTAACAAAATTGATTTCCAAAGCCATGTCCAAGTTAAACACGAGCCGTTTTCTGTTACAGCAGCATTTTCATAATTCAGCACTTAATCTGTACAGAAAATACTGCAGTTTTCTCAGTAAATCCCACAGCAGACACAGTGGGGAGTTTAACTCTACCAGAGCTTTAAAGGCCACATCATCACTCAGTGTTTTAAGAGTAAGGTGAATAAAGCATTACTGTACCTTTTATTCAACATTATTTACCTCTTCCTGAGAACGCCAGCCATAGACGAGGATCAGAGGAACTTTCTCTCCAGGTTAGAGGTAAATTAGCTGCTCTATGCAAACCTCCAGGCATTTTAGCTCATTTTTACTGCAGCAAGTGACTTTGAGGCTGAAGTTCCAAAACAAAAAAGGCATTTATTTTGGATTCCATTCAGTATATAAACTAAAGGTAAACTGTGCAGTGAAGTCAGCATTACAGTGCTGAAATAACACAGGCAGTTTCTTAACCTGTCCCTCTCTCGCAGAAAGAAACTGACTACCGGTGCGTCAGCCTGCACACTTCTTAAATGTGTTTCCCAACATATTTTCTAAAGCTGTTTAAAGGTAAATTATTTCTCTCTAATTCTCTCTTAGTTCTTTTACCAAAACAGCAATTATCATCTTTTAAATATCTCCATAGGGTTCCATCATCGATGATATCCAATTACATCGCCCCATCACCAGGCCTAATCTGATAGGTTAATCTGGCAGACTGATCCTAATACTGTGAATGTTTTATAGCTCTGTAATGCAAAGAGCTGCTACTTTTTTGGCAAAAGCAAAGTCTGAGGCTTCTGTCTGTTTATACAGTTACTGTTTATTACATACTGTTTTTTCTGTTTATTCCGTCTCTCTGTAGCTCGCATCTCTCTATTTCACTCTAATATATCATGATAACATATCGTCACACTGCCCAGCCCTTTCAGTTTTTGCTGAATCAAGATAGTGAATCAACTCCACTTCACACTGACCCAAATATCCATATTAATATCTCTGCCAGACCCTCCAAGTCAGAGGGGCAACCGAGTTACAGAGAGCAAGTATTTACTTACTGCTTGCAGATGACATGGGGCTGTAGTCTGACCTGGAGAGGAAGAGAGAAAAACTGAGGTGTGATTTGGTGCTTCAACAGTTTATCTGAGAGGAAGGAAAAAGAAAACCTCCATCTGGAGAAACACTACTGTGTGGAAAGAGTTCTCTAGTAAAAGGAAAACACACCGACACACACCAACATCCCAGCCTCACATCTCAGAGAAATCTCAATGTGAAATCCATTTTCTCTGCAGAGCGTTTGAGAGGCCTTGGCCTGTATGTAGCTTCTGAAAGTTTACACTAAGGGCTATTTTGGTCTTGTTCAGACTCACAGCCTGAATCTGGTTTCTGTCACATCCAGATTGTATCCAGATTTGTTTTAATAGTCTGAACAGCAAAAAATGAATTTCTAATTATTTCATTTTCTATTCATTTCTATTATTTCTAATTATTACTTAAAATCTAATTATTTCAAACCGGATCCAAAACACATTTGGAGGTGGTTTGAAATGCGACTCCAGTCAGATTTTTACAGACGTGTCTCAATCTGGACGCTCTGGACACTCAAATCAGATTTCAAAGTGTCTTTTTCGTCACTCACGACACGACAAACAGTGACAATGTCGAGTCCAGAGTGATGAAGTGCTGGAATTCAAAAAGAGCTCCAAAGATTCATGATGATGAAGAGAGTTCTGAGGAGTTTGGAGGGGAGATGATGCTCCTCCATCTCTCCTGCATCCGCGACTGAAATCTGCGTCACCAGCGTAGCTACAGTTACTGACGCCTACGTCGTTACCACGGCAACCCATGCAGATAGACTGGAGATGTCTGGACACACAAATCCGATCTGATCGCTCACAGACAACAAAGCGGACAGTCGACTCAAAAGATCTGAGAAACAAACACGATTGGGCTGCAGTCTGAACACAGACTAGAAATGTAATCAATGTTGTCATTTATAAGTTTCTTACTCTGGAATCAGAATCCCCAAAAAATCCTGCACCCACACCAGCACTGCATGGATTATGATATTTACTTTACTGAAACTCCAGTTCTGTGAGTGAGAGCCTTGCCTACTGCAGCCCTCAGTGTTGTTAAGGCCAATACTGTGAAAACTGCTGTCTATATTTATAACGGCATTCAGATCCATTCAAGAACATCTTAGTATTCAAAAATGTACAAACGCACACACACACACACACACACACACACACACACACACACACACATCATACAGTGATCTCCAAACTATACCAACACTCTAGACACCACCACCTATACCAACTAGATGCCAACTATAACTCAGGGTTGCACATTACAGGCAAACAGCAAGTCACAATGTGCCTGTGATATATGACAGACACTGAAGCGCGACTACACAGTCCAGCTCACAGCACTCTCAGTGTAACAATTTTTCACGTATTTGATTTATTTTCACATAATATGATAGTCAGTTTTAGTCTTTTGACAAAAAGTCCTTTAAAAAGGCAGCAGCTGCACCTATATTGTATAGCCTGGCACTCGCCTCAGAATGAGTTATTGTTTGAGGCAACCAGCTAACAGGCTAACAGGTTCTTCCAATAATATTTAGAAACAGGCCTCAATGTTCTACTGAAGTCACGAACATACAAAGTAAAAAAGGTTATTTGAAGGTTGTTTTGGGCTTCAAATATCCATATTTAAGACTTGCGTCAAGTAGATCACCCCTATATTCACCATCTATATACACCACTGCTACTCCTGAGCTAACATAACGCAGAAAACTCCATAAGGGCGGCAACTCTAAATTAGGATGGAAACTGTGATAGTTGGAGTTGAGCTTTCTGAGAGTGACAAGTACTACTCAGGACAGCATGTATGTAATAAAGCAGAAATAAACAGTGATAATGCAATCTTCGTTAAACAAAACCAGTTCTGAAAAAGTTGGGACAGATTGCGAAATGCAAACAGAAACAGAAAGCAATGGTTTATCTATCTACATTGACCTTTATTTGAACAAAACATACAGAGACAAGGTGTATAATGTTTTATCTTATCAACTTTATTAGTTTTTTAATATACACTAATTAATACGCAACACGTTCCAGAAAAGTTATTACAGGAGCAGTTTAAGACTAGGAACTTTGTGAAATGTTCAAAAAGCATCTTAAAGAGGTGATGCAATCATGCTTGAGTATAAAACGAGCATCCCGGAAAGGCAGAGTCCTTTACGACCAAGGATGGTTTGAGGCTCACCACTTTGCCAAAAATGCATCAGCAAAAATCCAAAAGTTTAATATTAACATTCCTCAGCGAGCGACTGCAAGGATTTTATGTATTTCATCCTTTACAGTGCATAATATCATCAAATGATTCACGGAATCTGAAGAAATCTCTGTGTGTAAAGAGCAAGGCTGATAAACACAAATGAATGCCTGCGACCTTCGACCCTTCAGAAGGCACTGAATTAACAAAACTGGCATGCCTCTGTGATGGAGATCAATACTTCGACAAACCATTGTCAGTAAACACTGTCCATCACTCCATCCACGCATGCAGGTTAAGACTGTACTCTGCCCAGTGGGAGTCACATATCAACAATGCCCAGAAACGCCGCCGATTTCTCTGGGCTCGAGCTCATCTGAAATGGACTGATGCTCAGTGGAAAGGTGTATTGTGATCTGAAGTTATTTTTGTTTTTTCATATTTCTGTCATGAAGCAGGTAAATTACAATTGTTTAAATGTAATCATGGCACCATTTGCCTCAATTAAATTTACAAATAAATCAACGAGCCTTTCTGTCAGTAACCTTGTTGGCAAGATTAACAGTGAAAGAAGGAAAGGAATCATGGACAGCGTTCAGTCTGTTTCTCAATCATGCACAAAGCCGATGTGAGTTACCCCCACGAGAGAGACTGAGCCGGGGAGAAAAGGACGGACAAGGGAAGAGTAACTGGAGGAGAAAGTGACGAGGAGAAAGAAGAACACTTGGTGCGTCAGTGAGAGAAAAGGGCAGCGGAGGCGGCTGAATGGAGAGCAGCCAACAGAGGAGAAAGTGCTCTGAAGGCTACTTTAAATATCAGGTACAGAGGGAATTTTAATGAAGCACATTTTTATACTAAGAAGGCATAAACTATAACGCTCAAAAGGGTGAAGTATACGGTCTGTTTGATTTCTTTGGTCACCTTTTCACAGCATCTTCTTCTCTGTCTTTGTCCTCTCCACTTACTTATTCTGTCGTCCAGGCCTTTTCACACTTAGCCTCTTCATGTGTGTTTGGCTGACTGGACAGCTATCTGATCCAGAAAAAGCCAAGTGTAAACGCAACTGGAGCCACTGGAGACACACTGCTGCACTCACAAAATGCCTGAGTCCCATGTACCTTGCCCGAGCATGATTGTCCACCTCCCCACCCCCCGCTGGCCTGCGCTCACATTGTACTTAACACTCCGGCCCCGAACTCACTTACGTCAGCATGATGCACTTCCTGTGTTGAAGAAAAGCTCTCACAGCACAGTGGAGTTCATGACTGTACTCACTTATTTGGGGTTATTTGGAGTCGTTTTGGCGCCGACACGCGGCCCTTATAGATGTATCGATTATTAAATGCAGAGATTTTCGGTTAATCGTGTGGCATGTTTTAGAAGATTGTTGCTGTTGTTGAGGGAGGAATTTGCAGCTTTACTCACTGACTACAGTCCACATTCTTCAGTGTGGTGAGAATCAGACGCATTATTAACCCAAACATTCTCAAATGAATTAAAAAGAGGGACAGTTGTGTGTTCGAGTTCTGTGCTCGGGTGGTTTGCCATCACACTAGAAGCGCACTGAGTCCAACTGAACTGTGCCTGAGCCTATCTCCTGAAACAGGCCAGGGCACGGGACGGAGTGATCACACTAGTCAAACAACTGGACTTTGGGGTCAAATGTGCTCAGGCACTGTACAGATCGCCTTGTGTGAGCACAGTCTAAGACACTTGAGGTCAGGAGGTTTTTGAGATGCACAGCCCAGCTGAAGGTAAATGGATCTGTTTCTTCACGCTGCGTGTCCTCTTCCCCCAAACTACACTGATAGTGAAAAACAATCACCGATCAAGCTGAATTCAGCAGCTCCAAAAGCACACACTGCAAAAAATGATGTATTGTAAAGTAACATTATCTTAAATGTAGTCAGTAAATCTAATACTTCTCCTGCTGAAATTGTTGGAAGCTTAAATTAAGATTATTTAACTTATTTCTAGACATTTTTACTTGTTTTAAGTGATTTTAGTAAGTAAAATGATCTCACTATAGTGGCAGATAATGTTGCTTGTAGTAAGAAATGAGCTCGAAACCAGCAACATTATCTGCCAGTACAGTGAGATCATTTTACTGAATTAATGACCTAAAACAAGTAAAAAATTCCTGGTAATAAGCTAGATAATCTTATAATAAGTGCACGACCATCTCAAAATGGAAATATTAGACATACTGACTAGATTTAAGATCACTGTAAAATCATCAGTGTAAGAGGTTAAAGCAGGGTGTCCTGCAAGCCTCGGGTCACGATGTCACTAACAGTGGTGCTTGTAACATCTACGAGCCCCTCCTAGTCGGTCAACAACATCAGGGAACCAGTCTGGACTGAATTCTCCTCTCCTGGCTGGCGAGGGTTAAAATGTCATGAGCAGCTTTGCTAAAGCAGCAGCACCGCCAAAGGTTTGTTTTTGCTACAGTGACTTTTTCATCACCTCTTCTTAAAACTGACAGCAAAGATTTTCTGCCCACGCTCAAAATTCCTTTCCAATGTCCCACCCATGGCATTTGATTGACAGTGATCACTGACAGTGAAAATGCAACTGCAAACAGTGCTGCAATACATTTACTTTGGAAATTACAAATCAGGAATTATTATTTTGTTTTTAACATGTCAGAGTCGATGAGTCTGGTTTGACACTTTGCATTTGAATATCTTAAATAACACACATTCATATGGGAAATGAAATTGTAAACACACAATAATTAGCATTTTCAAATTTGTGTTTCTGTCTAACACTTTTAAGAGGCCAGACTGAAATATCTGAAACTGAGAACACAGTGATTTTTATTCAGTGTTTGTCACTAAATCCAGTAAAACTGGACTCATTTTACTCTCTTTATAATGAAACATGCAGTTGGTCAATGTTTACTGACGATAAACACGATATGATCAGAAAAGCAGATTGTATTGTATTAATCACGATAATGATATATACTGTCATATTGCCCAGCCCTAACCCCACTACAACACGTTTGAAAGTCAAATAATTCAGTGTTGAAGTTTGAGCAGTGTTGAAGTTTGAGCAGTGTTGAAGTTTGAGACAGCAGAGGCTCGTTTACTCAGTGGTCTCAGAACTTTCAGGCTCAGAACGACAGACAGAAGGTATGTCTACCTTCCACCTCCTCCAGCTTTCATTTTCATCCTTACATGTTAAAGATGCACAGTGGGTCTATATGACAGGTTCATCAACCAGCCCCACCCCCCTATCTATCAGTGAAAGGGACCACCGTAGGACCACCGTAGGACCACTGTAGGACCACTGCAGGCCCAGCACAGACGCAACACTCACATGTAGTGGAAGGTACTACTGTCTACCCCTCCTACTGTCTGCTGCTATAGGGTAGAACAGCTGATAAAATGTCCGGTGAGTGGAGACACAGGTGGTCACGACACACAAACAACATACACAAAAATACACTAATCTGAGTTTTAGGCTAAACTACATCAACACAACAATGTAACCTTGAGCTAAACCTACAGTAACACAGAGGAGCCAGTCCACACCGGGACTAACACAGCTTTATCTGAAAGCCTCGAGGCCCAGATTACAGACTTAATCTGAAAAAGTCATACATAATCCCAGTGTGTCTGAACTCACACACACACACACCACACACACCACACACACACACACTCACACTACACTACACCACACACACACACACACACACACACACACACACACACTAACACTCACACACACACAATAAACACACCTGACAGTGAACAGACACTCATCTCTGCTCAGGCAGCACTGCAGAAAACATGAGGAGATCATGAGAAACTACAACCAGCTGGAGATTCAACACATTCAGTCCCACTGAAAACAGACCAATACAACCATTAGGATTAGAACCTGATGGTTTAGCTTGCTAATGGGAATTGGCTTCATGGTTACCATGAGAGACCACTAGTTGTCTGTAGGACACCTTTAGATCCCATTAGGAAAATATCAAATCCAGTTGGAATCAGAACACCTGTTAAACCATTAGAGTCCTTTACACTCCCTGCTGAAAACCCATAGAAACTACTAGTGTTTCTGTTGGTTCCTGATGGTTCCGTTTTTTTTAATGGGTTGATATCACAGTGTAAAGAATGGTTTTGATGGTTTCCTAATGGGATAGTATGTAAGTAAAATTTATTTATATACAATTATTTACATACAATATATAAACAATCAACCGCGAAAATGACTCCCACCTTCAGATCAGCACCACCGTACATTCACACAACAGAGTACAGACCTCAGTCTGCAGCTCAACAGCTGCTGAACGCTAATCGATTAAAGTGTGTTTTAAGCTTGGTTTTACAGAGTCACAGACGGAGTGTCTGATCTCTGATGTCACTTGTGAGGCCATTCCAGAGTTTTGGTGCAGCGTCAGCAGAAGCTCGAGCTCCTTTCTGTTCAAGACGAGACGGTGGAACAGTTCAAAGTGATTGAGACGCAGACCTTAGAGATCTTGAGGACGCAGACATACAAAGCATGTCCACAACATTTGCAGGTGCCTGACCAATCAGGGCTTTAAAAACCATCAAAGCCATTTATACTGGACTCTGTAGTGCACTGGGAGCCGGTGTAAGACCCTAAACTGGACTAATGTGCCAGTTCACATTCTGGCTGCAGCATTTTGAACTAGCTGTAAACGAGCCAGAGATGCTTCGTTAACTCTAAAACACAGTGCATTACAGTGATCCAGACTAGAGGGAAAAAAGCTTGAATGACTTCTTCCAGATCTGAACTATTAAGAAATGATTTCACCCTGGAGATTAAAGCCGGTCCTAAACCGGAACAAACCAGCCTTGACCATTTATTTGCTTATCACATTTTAATTCAGTATCAAAAAGCTTTTTAACTTGTGTTTTTATTAAAGGGGTTAAAGACCCCAGATTTCATTTCAAGCTCAAGGGATCTAAAGGTGTTCTACAGGAAATAAGTGGTCTCTATTGGAAACCATTAAGCCAATTCCCATTTTAATCCTAATGGTTTAAATAGTTCTTTTTCAGCAGGGCTGAGATACCAAGCCAACAGGAAAGCACAACCCTGGTGAAAAAGGACCATTAGAAACCATTAAGATTAAAACCTCATGGTTTTGCTTTCTAATGGGGCTTAATGGTTTCCAATGGAGGCCACTAGTTTCCGGTAGAACACTTTTAGATCCCATTAGGAAACCAAATACGCTGGGATCCTCATCACTGTGATATCAGTCCATCAGGACAAACACAGAACACCTTTAGTGACAACTGGACTCCATCAGGAACCAGCAGAACCTTTTAATGGTTTCTATGATTGTTTCTATGCAGGGATGATCAGCACTGCTCTGTCTGTAAGGCTGTTTTAGTGGAGGTCAGTCAGTGAGCCGCTCTGATAAACGCATTAGGCTGCCAGTTAAAGCTCTGCAGACGCCCTGAGTCTTAATACCAAAGGACAGATGGTCAGTTCAGTGTGGACAGACTCCAGAGTGGACTCCTCTTGATCCTCCCTCCACACTGACTGGTAGGTCAGTGAGAACCAACAGAACCATCAGCGTTCCTCACTTTAGATCCACTAACACATTAAACCCAGCAGGGAGCAGCTCACTCAGCTGAGGGGCTTCAGCTCTTCAGGCCTCACTGACCACACGGACAAATCAGGCTCACTGGACACTAAACTGACCACACTGATCACTGCACATCACACACCCCTGCTCAGAAAGGACCATCAGACACCAGTAGGATTAAAACTTCATGGATTTGCTTCCTAATGGGAATTGGCTCAATGGTTCCAGTAGAGACCACTAGTTTCCTGTAGAACACCTTTAGATCCCATTAAGAAACCATCAAATGCCTTTAGAAGCCGTCATTGGTCATCTGTTAAACCATTAAGATCATTTACACCGTGATATCAACCCATTAAAAAAGACAAAACACATTACAAAACCATCAGGAACCAACAGACGCTCTTAATGGTTTCTGATGGTTCTTCCTCAGCAGGGTTACTCAAACTCCAGCAGGTCAGTTCAGTCTCACCCGGCGGTCTCCGCTCCGGAGTCTGCGCAGTCATCCTCAGCCGGGTTCTTCTCCATCTCACCGGAAGCGGACAGGTCGACTCTGCATGGCTGCCTGTGTCCACTCTGTCCACTGCTCGGTCCTCAGGGCAGAACACAGCCTGATTTCTCAGAGCTCTCTGAAAAAGCAGGTACAGTGGGGCTGTATTATCCCCGCCCACCGCACAGACCCCGCCTCCAGCGCTGGGATTGGCCGGCGTGCCTCCTTGTCTGGGATTGGCTGGAGCTGAACGACGACAGGCGGGGCATGTCGGAATACGGGTGGTAATAACAGAGCGCTACCACACCGCAGTTCCGGCGAGGAGGGAGTCGTTATGAAAATCTGGCAGCCAATCAGTAAAAGATTCCCAGTCAGAGGAGAAACAGTGACCGGTGAGATTCTCCGCCTCTGAGAGTTTTTCAGAGCAGAAAAGCGAAGCTGCGTTTGTGAGGTCCAGGAGAACATAACTCTACATAACTCTGCATAACTCTACAAAACTCTGCATAACTCTACATAACTCTACATAACTCTGCATAACTCTGCATAACGGTACATAACTCTACATAACTCTGCATAACTCTACATAACTCTACATAACTCTGCATAACGGTACATAACTCTACATAACTCTACATAACTCTGCATAACGGTACATAACTCTACATAACTCTGCATAACTCTACATAACTCTGCATAACTCTGCATAACTGCATAACTCTACATAACTCTGCATAACTCAACATAACGGTACATAACTACATAACGGTACATAACTCTACATAACTCTGCATAACTCTACATAACTCTACATAACGGTACATAACTCTGCATAACTCTACATAACGGTACATAACTCTACATAACGGTACATAACTCTACATAACGGTACATAACTCTGCATAACTCTACATAATGATACATAACTCTACATAACGGTACATAACTCTACATAACTCTACATAACGGTATATAACTCTACATAACGGTACATAACTTTACATAAGTCTACATAACGGTACATAACTCTACATAACGGTATATAACTCTACATAACGGTACATAACTCTACATAACTCTACATAACGGTACATAACGGTTATTTATCATGAACTGGACTGACCCTGACTTTAATCTCACCAAACCGCTCTGAACGACTTTGTTTACATCTTAACCACTTAATTATGCAGAATGTTTTACAAATTGAGTTCCCTTTGAACACTGTTGAATCAGTTGTATAGGACAGTGGTTCAGTTCTTTGATACTTGGCTCCATGCTGCCCCCTACTGTTCAGTTCAGTTTCCTACACTGAATCCTAACAACACAAATGTCTTAATTAGATCATTTGAGCCTTAAATGAATACCAATACATTTCTCATATTAACTCTCTATTGCATTCATTACTGTTTAAACATGGTTTAATGTGTTTTTATTATTTCACTTCATTTCATTTCATATAAGAAGGGCTGATGGTATCAAGCCTGTAACAACAGAAGAACCTTCTTTAGTGCTAGAACCAACACATTCTTCATCAATCTGAAGAAACATTTATGCATACAAATGGCTCTTTCAGTGTTCATGGTCTGGTATAGAACCATAGGGATGTCTAGCCCCTGTTTAGGTGCTCAAGCACACTTAAATTGAGTCCCGGTCTCATTGGGTGCTCAGCACCCCTAAAATTCTGATTCTAGATTAACCTCAAATAGAACCATTTTCTTTACTAAAGGACTCTGGAAGAACCATTGTTTTTAGTGTAGTAAAGCGTTTAACAGTGCTGTCAATGCTGTTCAGCTTCCTGTGAGTCAAACTGCTTCAGCCAAAGTGCACAAACGTCAGAGTCTCTGAACATCGAGTTTTAATTAAGGAAAAAGTTGTCATGAATTATTCATCTGTAAACAGTGTGAGAAATTAACTACGACTGTCATGAGAAACACAGACTCCAACATTCAAACACAGACTAAAAAACAACACAGGCCTCTGTGAACACATTACAAACCATGACATCACAAATCCACCATACATTACACAAACAGACTCTACTCTAAGAACTGGAGTCATCATGTATCACATAAAGGAGAGAAAATAAGGCAGAGCAGGTTCTGACGTGGTGTGATGGATGTGCAGGTGATGTGGTGCACATGCAGTACTGCAGGTATAAAAACAATGGTTTTGCTTTCTATTGGTTATTGGCTTAATGTTTTCCAAGAAAGACCACCAGTTTCCTGTAGAACTCCTTTAGATCCCATTAGGAAAATGCGTTTAGAATCAGCCTGTTGAAAGAGTAACTCCACCCTCAGACCAGCTGAAATGCTCTGTAATAATAAAATATACCAGCTTTGTTTGAAATGTAAACACATCTTTCCAAATTGTAAAATATCATTTTCATTGTGGTCAGTTCTGCCTCTGCAGCGCCCCCTCTGGTTCAACTCTGCTATAGGCGCGGATGATGTGTCTTTGTACCCAAGTACCATGACGCCACAGTATGCAAATCAGTAAACCAATGTTACCGCCCCCTTGATGACGCCCTACTCGCGCCCAGAGCCGTGTAGAGAGACTTGTTTGGTACGATACGGTCTCCCTGTTATACAGCATGCTAAAAGCTAGGGTTGCTGCTAAAAGCTAGGGTTGCTGCTAAAAGCTAGGGCTGGTAATGCTAGAGAAGCTTGCGTAAGCTAACTAGCTTAGGCTACCGGGTTGGGTTAGCTTTTTTCTGCATTAGCTTTTAACAGACCTCGGTCTCCACCCTACTGCACGTTCTCAACAGGTGAGAGATTCGTACAGAGCCCAAACAGAGTTTTTCATAGCTTGATGTTAAACTGAATGAAACGTAGACAGAGTTCAAATAAATCCACTGTATTCATTCAGAATTCAGGGCATCTAAGAAATCAGGACTCGGGTCATATTGAATACAGACCTGCTGAACAGATCATTAGAGGCTGGCTGTCGCGGTTTTAGGGAATGTTCTACCGTTCGGCGCCTCTGCCGCTCACTGCTAATCATTTTCTGACACTACGTTAACTCTTCGGGGGTTTGAGTCAGCAGCTCATACTGTTCAGGCTCGAGACGCACTGCCTGATCAGAAACTTCCTCGTCGAAGATGGAGAGGGTAGTGGAGAAAAAACTTCAGCTTCATAAAACCTCTCAGTTTCAAAAGTGCCATTTGATTCTGTCTCTCCATATCTTCTGGTCGCTAACGTACGCTAGCTCTAAAAACACAGCAGCCCAGCCGCCCAGTTTCCCTCACAGCCCCACCTCCAAACCTGTACATCACTGCAGGGCCCCTCCCAGCGTGCCCCTCCCATTTTTGAGCATTTTTCAAAGCTGAGCCAGGGGTGGAGTCAGCTGAAAATAGTGGGGTGGAGTTACTCTTTAAACCAATAAGATCCTTTACACTGTGAAATCAACCTATTAAAAAAGCCAAAACACATTACAAAACCATTAGGAACCAACAGAAACACTTAATGGCTCCAGCAGGGTTATTATAGTGTAGTATATTATGATTACAGTGTCAGTTTTATTTGTTTATCTGCCCTCTGAACCCAGCGCTGAGCTCCGCTGTTCTAGTTGATGCAGCCCTCAGGTTCCAGGAGCAGATAGTCCTGCAGGGTCTTGGGGACGGGCAGCCGGGGGACGAGTGAGTGACAGAGCTTCCCGAAGTGTTTTCTCAGTGCAGCTCTGCAGAGGTGCTGTAAACAGCGCGGCCTGTACTCCAGCGCAAAGAGAGACTCATAAAACGGTCTGTGAAGCTGGAGAGACACACAGCAGTGTTTTAATTAGCTATGATTTCTATTATATTATGCGTTGTCGTTCTGCACTGATACTGAAGGTACAATAATTTAAAACAAACATAAAAAGCATTTTCAGTAAGTTATTTTGGACAGCTAACCAATTACATGATAAACTGGCTGTGATGCCAGACTGCATGGAATCTGTAACCACTGTAAGACAGACACCTGCCTTGAACGTGTCCTCAGGTATGGCTTCAACCCACTTGGATGTGACAGGAATGAGGGTGTAGGAGTTAAACAGGATCTCCACAGTCTTCGGTGCCTCTGCACAGGCTGTCAATACCTGAACAGACGGGAATAAAACAAAGAGCGAAACACAGTTCAGCAGAGTCAGTGTGGTCAGGGTTATTGAGGGCGTTTCATCAGGTATTAAACATTTCATCTGAAAGTGAAACAGACAGTGGACCCTTCCCACATTCTCACTTCTGCCCGATTCTGTTAGCAGGTCATTTTGTTTCTGGTCAAACGGCTCAGTCCAGCTTTAGGACGTTGTGCTGTGTTTCCTCAGAGCTCCAAACAGTAACAGCCACGCCTGAGATTTCACACATTTCCACCAGGCACACGTTAAGATCTAAATGGATTCAGAGGTGCTGCTGTATCTGCCGACGTTCACTGGAACTTCAGCTCATCTCAAAGTGACTCACTGCAGTAAAAAGTGAGCTAAAACAACTGAAAGTTAGAGTAGAGCAGCTAATTAACTCTAACCTGGAGAGAAGGTTCCTCTGATCCTCGTCTGCGGCCGGCGTTCAGTATTTTCTGTGTAGATTAAGTGCTGAATTATGAAAACTCAGCTGTAACGATGGAAAACTACAGAGGCCTGCTGGTGACATCCCGTATAAATTAAAATATTGACGCGTATTAAAAGTATAACATGCAGAAACGAGATCCTAATGCGAGGCCACAAGTTAGTAAGGTGTGGGAATGAGATAATTAAGTCGTGGCCACAACTTATTAATGTGTGGGAATGAGATCATGCCTTATTAAGCTGTGGTCAAGGCTTAATCATCTCATTCCCATGTCTTACTGACTCGTGTCCACACGTTAGGATCTTGTTCACGACTTAATTATCTTGTTCCCATACCTTACTAAGTCATGGTGGAATGAAACAGAAAATTCAGATGAGAATCTGGTGAATAAGAAGCTTCATCTTTATATCTGTGTAGTTTATTGAGTTTATTATTGAACAGCTTTGGCAGTTTTGGAGCCACTTTTATTAGTTTCCAGAGCACAGAGTTACAGCTCACCTACCAACGTGGAGATGCGGCATTCTTAATGACACAATACAATACTTTATATTTAAGAATTACAGAAAAAGTATGAATTAAATAAACAAGTACAAAATGTCCAGAATGTCTCATTTTGAAGTTCCCCACCTTAAGCAGTGCCTGTGGCCAAATCTGAATGGATCCATGGTTTAACAGCGTCTGAACAACGACGTGCGGCTGCCACTCCTGACGGACTACCGAGCTCTGCAGTACACTGGACAGTGGTGAACAGCCGTTGTAGTCGATGGAGTTGATATCCGCCCCATGATCCAGGAGAAGCTTCACCAGGCTGATCTGGACGTTGCGGGCAGCTTTGTGCAGAGGAGTGCGCCGCTCCTTGTCGGCGAGGTTAACGTTAGCTCCATAAGCCAAAAGGAGACGGCAAAGCTGAAGGTGTCCCTCCTGACCTTCACTCATCTTCTCCTGGGCTTCCCTGCATGCCACCCCCAGCGGCGTCTCCCCTGAGCAGCTGACGTGGTCGATGCGTGCGCCGTATCGCAGGTAGAGCTGAGCGTGATGCGGCAGGCCGTGCTTCCCTGCCACGTGTAGTGGAGTCTCCTCCTCCTCCTCACTGGGAAGGTCTACCTTGGCACCGTGACGCACCAGGGCCTTAGCACAGCTGTGTAGAACAGAGACTGTCACCTGTGAGAAAATCTTAATAGGGAACACTTATTGATTTTTCTAAATTGTGATGTAAACACATCGATAGTGGTTTAATGTGAAAAGCTCTGTTCTAGAGAAACTTAGACAGATGTCTTTACAGTGGTGGTGATAGGAATCAGGGGTCGCCATGACTACAACACAAATATAGACATTTTATTTACTATCCAGAACCACCAGTGAACCTACACGAGTCTTCTGAGTTTATATGGAATGTTGATGATGGAAAATAGTGGAAAATCTGAAATAATAAGTTTTCTTTGGGGACTATTTTGCCTCACAGCGCCCTGCATGTATCCCTCCACCATGAATGGAGTTTAAGTTCTCTAAACTATCATAAAACAGTGTCTCAGTCATCAGGCAGTGAATTCATAACCATTTCATGTAGGAACTTTCAGTGAGGGAGCTTTTAGAGGTGGACGTCTGGTTCCTATCACCACCACTGTGAACAGTTCTAACTCGGTAAGTTTATCTAGAACAGAGCGTTTCACACCAAACCACTCTGAACCGCTCTGAACCGTTCTGAACCGCTCTGATTACATTGGTGGAGTTTCCCTTTAAGGCACTGGATCTTCATATCAGTGAGATGATGCTCCAAATCAGTGTTTTTTTAGAACGATAATATTGAAAGTTCTCCTGCTTTGGGTGGTGGGTCATTCTCAGCTCTACAGTGGTGGTGGTGTGTTAGTGTGTTTTGCGCTGGTGCGAGTGGATCAGACACTCAGTCTCAGTGTTCACTGTGGGAGGATTAGTAACACTGTTTTGAAACTAACCAACTGACCAGCTAACTGGCCCTGACTGTAAGCTGGTTACAGCTGGATTCTACGTTAAAGCTATGATGATTATAACGACATATTTGTGAAACACTTATAATAACAAAAGTTACTGGTACAAAACCATCTTCATACCAAATCTCAAGAACTCACGACATTGTCTGATGTTGCTTTGGGGGGATAAACTGTGCGGCAATAGATGGTTTACAGTCTAAGTTCACTCGAGATGTAGATGTAGGTGTACAGTATAGTAGAGTATGATTCATTTGATATGATTGGCTTTCAGCTTACAAGGTCTGAAATGATTGATCGAGCTGGTGGTTCCACTTTTCACTTTATGTTAGTAAACCTGTGTTAGCACAGCAGACGCAGGGCTGCATCAGAGCAGCAGCGCCTCCCTCAGATCACGCCCTGCTATCACAGTACATGTTGAATATGGAGGTGCGATGGCACAGTTGAGTAATGAAGAATGGGTGAGAAGGATTTATTTGGGAAGGGGGTGCTAAATAACATTTGGGGGTCTAAAGCCCATCTAGAACCGGCCTAGTGACGGCCGTGCTGTTTAGAACGTGTACTTACACTTAAAAAATCTACAGAACATGATTTGAACAGGGGTGCCCAAACTTTTGCATATGGCTGTAGATGTACCTGATAAAAGGTGAAAGGGCAGCTGTGTCTAATAAACTAGCAGCCTAAATATGAAACCTGCCTCAGACTAACTGAGCTGAGAACCTGTGAGATCAGAGTGTTGTGAACATGAACGTCCACCTTTATTAAACCATCCTAGAAACAGGTTAACGACTTCAGAGCGTCTGAAACAGGGGAAATAAACGAAGTGGTACCGCAGCGACTGGGGTGTCCTGCACAGATGCAGTGGTGTCAGCCCGTCCTCCGTCAGCTGGTCCGGGTTGGCTCCGTGCTCTAAGAGAAGCTCTGCACACTCAGTATTGCTGTTTGCACAGGCTTCATGCAGGGCTGCCTTCCCTCCTGCGCTGAGATTGGGATGAGCTCCGTGCTCGAGCAGGTACTGCAGACACTCGTTAAAGCCTTGAGCCGCAGCTATGCAGAGCGGGCTTGTCAGCTCCCGCTTATATTCCAGCGACCAAAGTCCTGCAACAGAACAGGATTGAGCAGTGAGATCTAATTATCCCCTTAACAAACCATCATACACTTCTATAACCTAAGAATAGCTTTATTATTTTGCTTTGAAGCCCTGTAGTTACTGAATAATGAGCCTCAGTATGTAATAAGTCCGAAAGGTTGAGGGGTCAAGGCTTTATATCAGCCTGTTTTCAGAGTAATCTAATAAAATGGCTCTTCGCAGCTCACAGATTCAAGACTTCTCATAATTAGGTGCCATGCAGGCTGCACAGTGTATCGTTGCTAATTGTTAATGTCATATGGGCCTTTGCAATACTGATATCACCAAAATCTGCAATATGCAAATGAGCCTCTGACCAGTCACTCAGTGTTTTATTGTGTGTTGTGATCAATCACAGTGTTGGTATGAATCAAGACGTTCACATAGTCCAATAACTGTGAATCATTTTGGTCAAAATAATGCAGGGCAATGTCAACATGTAGCAACATAATCATAATATAGCATTTGTCCATGTTTTTATCAGGGAACCTCAGAATGGGTTTATAACGGGAACTTCAGGAAAAGCTTAGAACTTAAGATTCTGTCTCATTTCAACAAAACATCCCAAAGAAACTGTAGGAAATCACACGACCGTCCAGTGAAAATCAAAAGTATAAAAGATGCATGTGGGAGCCACCTGGTCTGAACTGGACACTCTTAAAAAGATGGTTCTTCAAGGGTTCTTTGGTAAAGAAAATGTTTCTATATAGATCAATGAACACTAAAAGAACCCTTTGCATGATTAAAGGGTTCTTTGCATGATGAAATGGTTCTTCAGATTGATGGAGATTGTGCTGTAGATGGTTTTATGTAGAACCTTTTTGAAAAGGGTTCTACATAGCACCAAAAAGGGTTCTGCTGTTATTCCAACCTTGATGTTGTCACAATAGAAGAACCCCTTTTGGTGCTATCCACCCATCCATACATCTCCCAAGCAGCTTATTATATAGAACCGTTTTCTTTACTTAAGAACCCTTGAAGAACCATAATTTTAAGTATGTAGTAAACCAGAGACGACAGCAGTGCAGTTATATGTAAGATAGTTATAGAAACTGTTACTCTACTGGAGAGCGGTTTACCCGAGGGTCCGAACGTGGTCGCGGTGTTCGCCTGCCACTGCAGCTCCTCACGGTTCACATTGTAAAACACATCAAGGTCTATGTAGTTCCTTTTGAGGAGGGTGCGAAGCCCCTTGGCATCTCCCGTAATCACGGCCCTGTAGAGCCTCAGGGAGCGAATATCGGCCTTCCCCTCGTCTCTCTGCCCCGGCTGACGGCTGTTCTCCTCCAGTAAGGCCCGCCACCCATCCAGCTGCACGGTGGAGCAGAGGCTTTCGAACCGCAGCGTCCTCAGCATCTCCTCCAAATGCCCAATGTTTTCAGAGACTTCGGCTTTTATAGGCCTGGTCATATTTTCCTCCAGCTCAAAGCACTTTTGTTCTTCTATTAATAGCAGTGCATTGTTATCCTTCAGTTGCTCAAAGCTTTACTGGATCCATATTTAGCAGCTGATGTATGAGACACTTTAAACCCTTTTGAGCTGCGAAAATTTATTACCTTTCATTTTCGCGTTAGAATAAAAACATTATATCATCGTTACATTTTCATTATTATTATTACTATTATTTAATTTTAATTACATTATCGTTTCTTTTCTGGTTCAGTCTTATTATTTTTATTTTCTGTTGTTTTTATATGCTTGTTCTTTTCTAATTTCTCTTTCTAAAGTCTTTAGCTGCATTTTAATGTATGAAAGTGCATTTTACTATTTGTGTTCACATTTTCATCACAATTCTATGCTTAAGAACAGCCAGTTTGCATTGTAGTCCATGTAGTTGCTGAACAATAATCCTTAGCATGTGGGATTTTAAGGCTTAATGTGAGTATTTTCTCCTATAAAGTTTAGAGTGTTCAGAAACAGTGTCTTCTTTTCCACTGCAGGGCCAAACGGCTCTGAGCGTGAAGAATAACCATTACAGTGGCTTTTCCACACGGATACAGTTTGACACAGAGAGCTCCAGAACCGGGCTCAGTGTGTTTTTTTCAGCACGGTTAACTAACCGTACTTGAGGCCACAGAACCGTTTTCTGGGATGACGTAATGTCATAGCAATTCCCTGATTGGTTCTATGTTTATGTTGATATTGTGCCACAGCATCAAACTTGAAAACAGTCAAATCAGTTCAATTCACTCACAATGTGGCAAATAAATGAAAGCAGTGCAAAATTTTCAAACCACCGTTCAATAAACATCAAAGCCAATCAATCAATCCAACACCAATTTCTAAATAGTAAACAGCGCTGACAAGCAGGAGAGTGTAGCTGGTAAGTGTTAGCTTAGCTCACATGACAACAGCTCTGCTCACCACAGAACAGGTTCGATTCTGACTAACAAAAGCTTTACAGATGCAAATTTAGTTGACAATGACTCAAATAAAGTCGAGCGGCTGGTGTTAGACGCTAAAGCTTACCGAGCTTCTCTCTCCTAGCTAGCTTAGCTAAAGAGATTCAAACAGTACAGGTTCGATTAGACTAGCTGCGCTGCTGTCACAAGTACAGATGATATTAACACATTTCAGCGAGAGAAAAGTCGCCTGGTCGGTGTTGGAGTGATAAAAAGCCTGTTCTGTAGTGCTTTAAGCTGTAGCCTGCTAGGCTAAGCTAACACAAGTGTACGGTGTCCCACTGCAGTACGGACTCGGTTTCAGCTAACTGATGCTTAAAAACACCCGTTTAGAGGATAAAGACTCTGAGAGCAGAAACTCGAATGTCTGGTGTTGAAGTGACAGAAATATAGTAAACAGAATTGTTCTGCGGTGCTTTCAGCTGAACCCTGCTGGGGGACGCTAATGCTAATGCAGTTAGCTACAGGTGTTTCAGTAACAGATGCTCAAATCCCACCTGTTTAGAGGATAAAGAATCTGAGAGCAGCCGAGTGTTTGGAGTTGGAGTGACAGACGGGATCAAACGTGTTTTGTGGTGGGTGGTGTGAGCGTAGCTGTTAGCCTGTTAACAATTAGCCACTTGCATGTGTAGTTTTCTTCAGTATTTCCTGGTTCTGATTTGCCGGTAGTCCAAACCGGCGAGGAACAGCACAGTGCGGCTCTGGGAACCATTCGGCTCGACGGTGGAAAAGAGGCCAGGGTTTTGTTAAAAAGCCAGAGGGACTCTGAGTGATTGGAATCAGCTGCAGTGTTGCCAGGATGCTTGCTGTCTGAGAAAGTGTGTCATGCATGCTGTACGGCTCTGACTGCCACAGTCCTCCCGCGGCCCTCTGTGTCGGGCATTACTGCAGATCCCTGCTTCAAACAGACCAGCACGTCAGCCCCACTGACTGAGACTCAGCTGAAGGCTTTAGCTGTAAAACGTAGGCAGCGAATCCTCTAAACCTATTTTAAGGAGCTTTATTTCACCGTCCCTGAAAGCCGGCTGGAGGAATGTACAGTGTAAACATGAAATACCAGCCTGTTCCAGTGTGTCCTCAGAGTAGATAAGCTTCACACCACAAGTGGAGCCCCTGGATGGTGTCAGTGCTACACGGGCAGACTCTCTGTCGACATCAGAATCTCGAAAAAATGTTTTGATCGAACGTCTTTTTAGAACTGCGGTCCAAACTCTTTTTTAAAACAATGAAACGCAAAAAACTGCAAGGTTATTAGGAAATAAATAAATAAAGAAAAGAAGAAAATCTGTATTTAAAGTTTTAAATGTTTAAGGATATCGAGCACTTTCATGGTTAATTTTAAATGACTGTATTGATTATGGAGAGTGATTTTGTATTATAGTGCTGTGTTTGCTGTGTTACACCTGATGCCTACTGTTAGATTTGTTTAGATCAGAGACCACAATGAAAATAAGTCTTCAGGTGTTTTTTTGTTCTCACTGACTGTTTCTGTTTTTATGCATTGCCTCTTCTGAAGTGTGGTGACTGCTGTTCATTTTAAAGATCTATTTTTTTATTATATTTTTTGTTCTTTTTGTTATTTTTAACTGATTTATTGGGGGTTGTTGGTTATTGAAGTCTCTGTTTTATGTCTGTAATGTGTGACTTCTTCAGTGGGGACAGTTTGTTATATGTTGCTGCCTGTTTTGAACAGGACCTCCTGTAAAATAGGCTTTAAATCTCAGATGTTTCCTAATTTTTCAGGGAGTTAAAACCCTTAAATATCTACAGCCCAAAGTTTTACTACACACATCTAAACCTAAGAATAGCTCAGGTTTACACTGAAGTCCATGTAGCGAGGGTGAAAATGAAAACTGTTCCACTGAAAGCAGCTGCAGCACCAACTTTAAAGCGTTACTGTTTAGCTTTAAAAGATCTAAAACTATGGATGGACTGTTTCTGTGCTAGCAGGGCGTTAGAGAGGAGATGGTTGATGAGGAGTAAAGAAACAGACAGGGGACCTTTAGAACGGTTCTTAATTTTCTGTTACAAATAGTGTTTTTCTTCTTTTTTTAGTGATTGCCCATCGCAAAGCAGTGCGCAACACTACTGTTATCCATATCTTCTTCTTCTTCTGCTTCTTGATACACTTTTTTTTGTCCATTTCTTGTCAACATTCCTGAATCACTGCATGTTTTGTTGATGTAAATCCTCATAGTAATTAAAAAAGTAGCTACTGCGCACTTTACCGGTTAATTAAAAAAACCTGGCTGTCGATATCCTGGCCCTCTCTCAGCATCAGCGAGCTGCACTGTTGATGTGGAACCACGCCGAGATACTCCCTAAACTCAGTGTAGGGATCTTATGAATAGCACTGTGCACTAAATGAATTGTGAGAACTGTGTTAGAGCTGCATTCAGTCATCAGTCAGCGTTCAGGGTGTCACTGCAGCTGTTCAGCTGAAGTCATGACTAGAAAAAGTGCAGTTTAATTCTATTCTGGTGCCTCATTACAGTCGACATACTGTGGAACAGGAGTGAAGAATTCAGTGCAGTAAATGTTTGTTCATAAATCTGTACTAAATAGATCTAAACATAAAACTGAAGATGCAAATGAAAATGTCCTCACTCTCCAGTATCTTCCTAAGCAAGTGTTTTTGAGAAAGATCCTAAGAAAAAGTCTCCGTCAGATTCATGTTGTGTTCTTAAAGTGCAGAACTGTTCTCTCCTTTGTGTTCTTTAGTGTGTGTAGATTCTGTTCTTACCTAAGAACAAATCCAAATAAGAGAACATTGGTGAGTCAAAGTCTTCGTCAAAACTGCGTAAGTGGGGTTAAGAAGGAATTTCTTCTTAAGAACGGTTGGAGAGGTCCAATAATCTTAGGCATGCAGCTGCAGGCATAAACACAAATGATAAATAAACCCCCAAGCACACGGGAAGAGGGGGCTGTAGCGCCCCCCTGATTTCAGGATTGTAACTGTTAAAGATAATAATAACAATAAAACATTCTGAACTGTATGATGATGTGAGCGCAGTAGAGACCCATGTGTGCCTGTTTAGAGCAGAGTTTGTTTATATTGTAAAAATCTGTAGCTGCTCTGTTTAAGAGAATGCTGTATTTTCATTACAGTGAGCTGCTTTGTGGGCGCGTTGCTCAAACATGCAGGTTGAGAGAAAGTCTATGCAGAGTTATAGGCTAGTTGTGACACTCAGAGCAGCCTTGTATTTTTTTTTAGCTTAAAAAAATAATCTAATGTCATATAAACGTTTTATCGACGGCTGTGTCTTGCGCTCAGTGTGCTCAATGTGTAACTGTGGGTGTGACACATTCGGCTACCGTGCCATCTGATTGGTCGGCGCTCAGTTCATTTGCATAAAGTTAATCCAGAATGAGAGAGCCGGTGGTCTCATGTGTCAGGTGTTTATAGTAGCTACGCTCCAAGCAGAGGCTGCAGCTGAGGTAGTGCGGGTCCTCAGTAGGACTGTCCTATGAAGTCTCCTCCTTAGTAGCCTACTGGTCACACAATAGAGCAGTGCTAACAAGGCTGCATGATGACGTCACCAGAAAGCCTCTTGCAATTGTGGCGTGAAATTTCGAGGCTGTATACGAAGGGTCCTTCACTTTGGAACGGTCTGCTGTGACGTAGAGGCCGAGAAATGAACCTTGGCTGCAGCCTGGACTTTGGAACGCAGCTAGTGTCGCCTCTTGCCTTATTACAGCACTGAATGACACAGTCTGTTTGATGAGATTGAATCATTTTGCATGACATCATCAGCCATGTTACATAAATGCTGATTAAAATTTCAGCACTCCCAACTTTAAACACCCTCCGGTGTCCCTGTGCACCACCCCCCACCCCCCCCAACACATACTCCGGGTGCCACATTAACATGCCACCCTGCAAAAACTCCCTACCAACCCTTTTCCACCCCTGACAGAACTTTCTGGATCCTCCACTGGAGAAAGGAGCTCTCTCTCAGTGAGAACATGGCCAGTTCTGTCCAAGACATTTCAACTAACGTTGAGTGCTCCTTTTAGATGGATCTTCTTGTTGATGGAGCTTTTTTACCACATTTTTTGAGTTTGATTCCATTGTTTGCAAACAATACAGATATGAAAAATCATTTGGAGGTTGTGCTCTTGACCACTCTGGCTAATGGTTTACATAAACTGGTGATTTTATTAGAGAAGGTGTCAACAAAAATGAAGAATCTGAGTTATTACTTTGCAGTGTGTGACTTAGTAATCCTTTAAATCCTTTAAAATACTTACAAACTCACAACTACAGTGCATCTTCACATCTAACTTAGCTGTATCTAACTTTTCTTTCAGGTCTTATTGAGCTGCAGTGCCCTGGCCAGATTAGACCTCTGTGCGACGTCCCTTTCGGTCACCTGGCTCAACCTCAAACTCACCACGCTTCTGTGCAGTCCACCGCAGCTCGTCACTTTGGAACACTAGAATCTTATTGAGCTCCTCAGGGTCTGAGAACCCGTCCTGCAGATCTCTCCAGTGGTGGGCCAGCAGCTCGACCAGGACAGGAGGACAAGGGAAGTCCAGCACTGGCTGCTTGGAGCCTCGCCGGCATTTTTTGCTCCTAGCCTCGTCACTCTCTAAAGAAGGCCACCTTCGGTCAGCGAGGCACGGACAGGCAGGTACGCGACTCGCAATGTACGCTTCTCCATCCTGCGAGAGCATCACTGCTGAAGAGGTCACTTTTCACGGTCCGTTTGGGTTCTTACCTGCCCGCTCTGCGACTATTTATATTCCCACTGCTGCCCTACATCTTGTATTTTTAGTACAGATGGCATGTGATTGTTGAGGGTCATGCGATTCCAATGGCAGACACAGACTTTATCATTGTTTATCCCACAGCGCTGGATACATGAGACACAATCGAAATGAAAGGGTCAGAATAGTAAACATGTCAGATGTGAGGCTAAGTGGAGTGCATTGGTGCTGATATCACCAGTGCGTTGATCTAGAAATAGTAGCAGACATGAGAAAAAATACCAGTGGCTTTCCATTGTCCTCCAATCAGATTGGCCAAACAGCTGCCCAGGAATCTGCACTGTGATCCTGGCAGAGATGTGACATACTAACCTTTCATCCCACAGCTGTTAGACGGGTCGGCATTAAAATACAGTGAAAAGTTAAAGGTTTTTGCTTAATTAATTGAATGGTGGATGTGAACTGGTTGCATTTTCATTGTCTGTTCATGTGTTTTAACTTACATGCAAATGTTTTTGGATTTTCTGATATGAATTGTATATTATTAGAAATAATATTTTTCAACTTATTTTGAGGTTAAATGTACGCCTTGCATAGCAGCCCATAGTAAGAGGTCCATAGTTAAAATGGTGTACATGTGCCTCATCATCCTCTTGTCTTATTTACTGCAGTATCAGCTGCCAAAATCAACACAATTTGGCTTTACAGTCAAAATACATATCAGTGTAGTATCAAAACCAACTGGCCAGCTGCTCTCACTGTGTGAACATTTCATGACACACAGACCAATAGAAATGGTCCAACATGAACAAAATCTCATTACATTTCCATTTCTGAGATATGAGGTTTCGTTACAATGGCAATGAAATAACAGTGGCTCTCCACTGTCCTTCAAACAGCTGCCCAGGAATCTGCAGTGTGATCCTGGCAGAGATGTGACACGCTAACCTTTGATCCCTCAGCTGTTAGACTGGCCGACATTAAAATACAGTGAAAAGTGAAAGGTTTTTGCTTAATCGATTGAATGGTGGATGTGAACTGGTTGCATTTTTCTTGTCTGTTCATGTGATTTATAAGCAACTTCCATGCGAATGTTTTTGGATTTTCTGATATGAATTGTAATTTATTAGAAATTCCTTTAATTGTTATGATCCTCATCAGAGGAGATGTGTTGGTGTTTATCAGAGGAAGAAGAGTCGATCAGAGGTGAGTAGTAACTACATTTACTCAGTTACATGTACTATTTGATAGATTTGTACTTTCCTGAGTATTTCACAACAATAATACTTTTACATTTACTGATGTACAGTCACGTGAGGAAGTAAGTATACCCCATGAAATATTTCTTTTTGTTGACATTTGTGAACATATCAGTAATTAATCTTTAGTGAAACATCATAAGTAGATAAATGTTATGTAATAGCACATTGCATGTACAGCCCAATGGGATTAAGGTCTGGGCTTTGAGTGGGCCACTGTATAACCTTCCATTTCTTACTATTAGATGTTCTTTTGTGGATTTACTTGTATGTTTGGGATCATTATCCTGTTAGAAGGTCCAACTTTTTCAGCTTCAACATTTTGGCAGATGGTCTCACAATCTCCTCAAGCACTCTCTGCTATGAAAGAGAATTCATAGTGAATTCTATGATTGCAAGTTGGCCAGCAAAGCAGCCACAAACCATAACACTGCCACCACCATGCTTTACAGTTGTTATGAGTTCTGATCAAGTGCAGTCTTTGTTTTTTGCCAAACACGGCTTCTGGCACAGTATCCAAACAACTCTATCTTTGACTCGTCTGTCCAGAGCACGTTGTTCCAGAAGTCCTGGTCTTGCCTCAATATTTATCAGCAAACTTTACTCTTTCCCTGATGTCCTTTTTAGGCAGCAAATGCTTCCTTCTGGTGCTCCTCCCAAATTTGTGCAGTCTCATTCTAATAGCAGATGCACTTCTACATCAACAGTGGCAAGAGTTACCTGCAGACCCTGTGATGATGTTTTGGGGTTCTCATAGATTCTTTTAGCATCTTATGCTCTCCTCTTGCATTAAATTTGCCTGGACCTGTTGGCAGTGGTTTTAAATCTTCTCTTCGTGTAGATGATCTTCCCGGCAGTGTAAAGATAGATTACTAATATTTTGGAAGTCTTCTTAAACCCTTCCCAGACACACAGACATGTACAGTCTTCTTTCTGAAGGCTTCAAAGAGCTCTTTTGATCTTGGCATGATCATTCCACCACACACTCCAATAACAAAGACCAAACCAGCCCAGAAAATCTAAGGTTCCTCAAAGATATTCTCCAATCGTGTTCTAATCATCAGCATCTGACCGGGCGACACATTTGAAGCAGTGATATATGTGTGGATGTGTTTCTTTTTCCACATAAGAAAATTATCACTTCATCTGTTACATCATATCACCTTTACCCATCAACACTGTTTAGATGAAGACAGAGTATCTGAATGTCCAAATGTTTTGAAAAGTTCTAATCTTTTCATGGGGTGCCTTTACTTCCTCACATGACTGTATATGATAATGAAGAATCTACTTTTACTGAGTTACAATTTAGTTCAGTTGTTCTACTAATTTCATTTTGGGTTTAATTTTGTTATTTTATATTAGGAACATAATCTGTTCCTTTACTATGGATGGAAGTGTTTAAAGTCTGCCAATTTATTACTACATTTGTTGTGTACAGTCAAGTGTAAAGTGCTATACACTCTTAAAAAGATGGTTCTAGGGTTCTTTAGTAAAAAAAAATGGTTCTAGATAGAACCATGAACAAAGAAGGCTTTGCATGATTAAAAGGTTCTTTGCATTGTGAATGGGTTCTTCAGATAGGCAGAGAATTTGCTGTAGATGGTTCTATACAGAACTTTTTTGAAATGGGTTCTATACAGCACCAAAAAGAGTTCTTCTATTGTTATAATGTTGGGGTTATTACAATAGGAGAACCCTTTTTGCTAGAATGAACCATCTACAGCACATTCTCAATCAATCTGAAAAACCATTTCACCATGCAAAGAACCATTTAATCATACAAAGGGTTCTTTGAGTATTTATGGTTCTATGTAGAACTATTTTCTTTTGTCAGCCTCCATGACTAGAATTACCACAGTGGATCCACCAGCGTCTAGCACTGATCATGAACTCTATCTCTCTCTTTGACAGAGAACCTATGAGACAGTTCTGACTTCACTTTACTTCCTCCTGCATTAATCAGAATATTTCTGAAAGATGTTCGAGCTCTAAGCTTCTTTGTTGTATCTTGTCATAAAATCATAAAATCTCATTAGCTCTGTCATTCTCTTTTCATCCGGGGTCGACCAGAGGAGGATGGGTTCCTCCCTTGAGTCTAGGCTCTTCTCGAGGTTTCTTCTTGTTACTCCTAGGGAGTTTTTCCTCACCTCTGGCTCGCTTATGGGGGGACTTGGACCTGGATTTAGTTCCTTATACATGGACTTTTTATTTTCTTTTATTCTTTTGATAACCTTTCCATTAACTGCTTTTCTGTAAAGCTGCTTTGAGACAACACTAGTTGTAAAAAGCACTATACAAATAAATGTTGTTGTTGTTTACTAAAGAACCCTTGAAGAACCATCATTTTTAAGTGTGTTGGTCAGTGGTGTTTAGGACTCACCTACCAGCACAGCTGGTGGAAGCTGAACACTGGGGTCTTTCATCCAGTCATCATTGGACAGTTCAATCACGGCGTCTGGGTTCTCTCTGCTCAGGCCTTTGAGAATGTTCTCTACACACCTGAAGTCGCCCTTATCCTGTGCACTTTTTAGCGTCTGCACAAATTCGGACTCAACAGGATAATCCAAAGTTAAACCTGACATTTTACAGCTGCTATTTACCGTCCAGTTTCACACTCAAAGTTTTGTTAGTGCAGAAAACGCCAAGATTATTTTAACACTGGAAGTTTGTTGTCATTATCCAGGACTGCAGCTAATAATAGAGCAGCCAGTCTGTCAGATGATCAGGTGGCTTAAAATAGCACTGGTGGTTTAGGCAGGAGTGTCGCACTAAACTCTGGGTTCAGGGCACAGGGGGGTGCCATGCCCCCACCACCACCCCTTCCCATATAAATAAAGGAAATGAAAAACATAACGTATTTATTATGCTTTGTTTATTTATGTGGTTAAACAGCTGACAGTACAGTAATTGTGCCCTGAATCATCAGTCTGGCTGTAGTTACTCAAACAGAACCAGGTCAGGGAACCACGCAGTGTGAAAACACTTTTGTGATTCAAACTTTCGGACAGATTACAGGAAGTTGACTCTATTGACTCTAAGGCTATTGTCTCATATGAAACAACAGAAGAAGAAAAAGAACCCGGAGAGAAGTTAGACGCTCCTCCACAAACCAATCAGTGACCAGTACAGGGAGATGCAGCCCATGGTGATGACGACAGGACACAGGTGTGTCGTGCAGAGTTCTTTAGTGCGCCCGATAAACTGCAACGAGGAACCAAAACTGACTGGATCAAATGTAACAATGTACACAATACAATCATACAGTGCAACAAAAACATGGACTCTGGTTTGGACTTACAGGTGTGAAAATGTCCTTAGCGGCTTTCACACCTGCCTTGTTTGGCCCGGAGCTTCTGATTTTCAGTTTGGTCCAAACCAAATTAGTGGGTGCGTAAGGGTCCAGCCTGTGTCACCGGCTGCCATCAGAGGGCGACGGCGGCAAGGCGCCACCAGTTCAGGGAACTCCAATTCCCAGAAGTCCTTGGGCTGATTAAGGCCAACCTGGCACACCTGTGGACTCCTCTACTAAAGGCTGTGGCAAACAGGAGCCCTTTGTAGAGGGGTGAACAATAAGGTACTCAGTGTTGTTGAAGAAAAGAAAAGAAAAGAAACGAAAAGAACAGAACAACTGACCCAAAACAACAGAAAGAAGAAAAAGTGGGCTAAAAAAGAATAAGCTGCCCCAAAACTACTTAAAAACCAAAAGAAGGCTTAAATAAGAAACGGCTCCACTAAGAGCA